AAGAAAATAAATTCTTAATCTTATTAATTTTAATACACTAATATATTATAATTACTGATTTTTATATTACTAGACATTTTTTATATATATATTTATGTCACTAACACATGACAATGCAAGATATACTTCAAAACAATTAAGACTTCGAAGATATAATAATGTAAATATAAATTTAACGTATAAGACGGGCAACAAGAGCCAAATCGCGGATGACAATGCGTTATCCTAACGAAACTACATATAAATATGATGTTTTCTAATCGGCCTAAGATAAATAATTTTTATTTATTTTATACGCATATAAATGATTCTTACTTTGACCGTAAACGTACATACGTGGAAGTTTTTCCGTGCCTATTCCGCTTTTCCTAGATTTATTTCGAAAGTTTATTTTATGTATCAATTAATTAAATCAAAATTCATATATTTCCAACAAAAAATAAACTACGATATTTTATACTGCTAAAAGCTTAATTGATTACGAAGCACAACTGAGAAACGCATTTAGAGAGGAGATAACACGGTACAAATTAATAAAATGATAAAGTCAATTTGGTTTAGAGAAGTATCTCTAACCATTTAATAAATATGTATAAACATTTCCAAATATGTTACTCAAACATTGAATTGTTTTTTGTATATTTGTTATTGATACATATATTTAATAACTATAATTATTATTTTATTATCTATTAATGAATAAAGACATAATTTGCGCACTGAAATATCGAAATTTGTTATTGATACATATATTTAGTAACTATAATTATTATTTTATTATCTATTAATGAATAAAGACATAATTTGCGCACTAAAATATCGAAATTTGTTATTGATACATATATTTAATAACTATAATTATTATTTCAATATTTATTAATGAATAAAAACGTAATTTGCGCACTGAAATATCGCATGTCATGGTAACCCGAAAAGAACAGAAATGTCAAAATGATGTCAAATTCATGTCATAATATTGTCAAATTCTAGTTTGTCAAAATGACATCAAATTGTATAAAATTTTGATGTTTACAATAATAAAAAATTATTAGTTTGTATTAAAAATAATTGAGATGCAACTTTAAGAAGTGAGCCGATTAAAATAACATTTTAATCAACAATTTAATTTTTAATACAATAACTCAACTCTTCTGTGAATTACAATGATATGTGAATATGAAAAACATTATTTTTAGTTATCTTTATAATAATAAGCATTGTATATACACAGACGAGAAACGTTTAGTCACATTTTTTAAAAATCAAACAGGTAATAAGAGTCAATATTAAAAGTCATTTTTTAATCATCTTCCAAATCGAGATTTCCATGACCAAAAAATGACATAAATTGAATCAATATGACGTCAAATTGACATTATTTTGACTTTTCTGTTCTTCTTGAGAAGTTTTATAATACAAAGAAACTACACACAAAAAAGTGAAAAAACTTAGCATTAATATAAAAGAATGAATACATATTTTTAGTATTACCTAAAATGTCAATTTTCTACAACGCTAATACATGTCTAGCGGTTTCATGTTTTATATTAAAATAATAAAATCACGTTCTTTTTTATAATAGCTGCGCTGTTCAATTATTGACAGAATTGTCGTAATTAAATCTTCTGTCATTTGCATATTATTAGAACAAAAATATTACAACCAAATAATAATGTATATTACAAAAATCACTCATTTAGTAACCAATTTTACATAGAAAATTAAAGTTTAACGGATAATATGAAATATAAATTAAAAATTTCTTCTATGCGAGAATTATATTCGTTAATTATAATTATTAAATTTATAATGTTAATAATTAAATTGTTTAATTATTGGTTGTCAGAAAGTAATAATTATAATTATGTCGTATGTGTACGTTTGTACATACCCAGATAGCCACAGTAATTATTATGACATCAAAATGATGTCATACTAATTACTGTGGCTAACTGGGTATGTATGTGTACGTCTGCACATGTATCTGTACGTACAATTGTCTAATTAATACGATATATAATTGTTAATAATACCAAAAAACGATAGTGTAATTTCATTTTCAATAATCATTAATATTGCATGAATTATAAATCAATAATTACTAATTAACAGATTAATTATTGATACAACAACAAAATAATGATTAATAATATAATAATTACATTATAATAACTTAATGTTATTAAAGATTATCTTTATCTAAAACAGAAAAAACAAGTTAATAATGTTATTAATGTTGATTTATGAGCGAGCAAAATTTTCTATGTGACAAAATTTTCTTGTATAATTTTACGTTTCTATATTTAAAATTATCTTCTTTATGTATCTCATAATTAACGATATCTTATATTTAAAGTATGTTATTTAAATATATATAGATATATATTTAAACAAATCATATTTAAATTGCAGGATAGACGTTAATGAGATACATTCAAAAATAAAAAAGACGATTTTAAGTATTGAAAAGTAAAAATTGTAGACATATATAGTTATATTTATATATAAATAAATATAAATTTATATATAAATATAAATTTTAAATATATATATATATATATATATATATATATGTTTGTCTATCTACATCCATATATTTTTGAAGTTGCATTATGCGATTACATTAAATTATTAGTAAAAGAATAATTTTTGATTTTTACTTATTGAAGAAGATTTAAATTAATCGGAATTCATTTCAAATCAAACTGGTCTTTTACATTTAAATATGGCTTGGATTTGATAGAATCGAGTAGGTAAATTTCGAAATTTTTATCATGTTGGAAATTTTTGTTGCACCAAAATTTAAACGGTTTTATCTTGGCGATATTTTCTTCGTTTTGACATTTGTATCTGTACCATTGGTCGAGCTTACTGAAATCCGTGTCGCAATTTTACATTTCAATTTCCTGTCATATTGGTGCTGTGCAAAATGCTTTAGCAATGTATACTTTGCTGTTGAACTTCTTCGCCTTCGACCAACTCGATTCTATTTGTCAATGCTTGCGGCTTTTGCGCGTCAATTTTAAGATTAGAGACTTGAAATATTCTTTATTAGAAGTTCGAAATCTTCATATTTATATCGGATGAAGAGGAGTATTGCCAGAGGCCCGAAACAGATCCAAAAGATTCGTCGCCTTTTTGTTGTGCTACATAAATATCCTGTCTGGAGCTGTCATCGCGCTGCTGATTATCCTTGGATTGTTCAATAGGTTCAATGTCTTCAATTTTGTTCTCCTCAATCTGGTGTGCAGTCCAGTATAAAATCAAGATGTTGAGATAAGTCTTCGTCACGGCCAGGCAAGATCGAATTCCTCTTTTTTTTCAATTATCACATTGTTACGTTCTTCTTCTGCTTCAATTATCACATTGTTACGTTCCTTTTTTCCTTTAATTATCACATTGTTACGTTTTTCTTCTCCTTCAATTATCACATTGTTACATTCCTTTTCTCTTTCAATTATCATTTAGAACCGGAATCCATCTGTCTGGAAGGACCGGCATCTCCGTCTCGCATTTCCTTTTCTTTCTTATGCTCTTTCTCTTCGTGCTGTGAAAGCAAGCGTAAATCCGCAAAAGATTTCGTGCAAAAATCACATTTCCATCGACCAACAGTGTGCGACGAACGCGTATGTGCACTGAAATGGGATTTACAAATAAATGTTAGATCGCAATTGTAGCAAGGATAACTCTGATTAAATTTGTGGACCTCTAAATGATTATAAAGCACGTCCAAAGAACAGAATAGTCTTAACCTGAGATGGCATACATACTTGTCCGGTTGTCCAGTTAGATCGGAATCCATTTGTCTGGAGGAATCGACACCTTCAGCTTGCATATTATCTCCAGTTGAATCTGAATCCATTTGTCTGGAGGGATCGGCACCTTTCTCTTGCTCATTATCTAAAAAAATTATTATTTTGTATTAAAAATAATAGAGATGCAACTTTAAAAAGTGAGCTGCTTTAAATAATGTTTTAATCAACAATTTAATTTTTAAAAAATTACTCAACTCTTCTGTGAACTACAATAATATCTGAATATAAAAAACGATAACCTTAAATTATATTCATAATAATATGCATTGCATCTACACAGTCGAAAAACGTACGTCACATTTTTTAAAATTTAAACAGGTAAGGAAGCCAGTATAAAAAGTCATTTTTTAGTCATTTTCGAGATCGAGATTTTTATGACTAAAAAAATGACATAAATGTAGTCAATATGACATAAAATTGATGTCATTTTGACTTTTTTGTTCTTCTTGGGAAGTTTTATAACACAAAGGAATTACACACAAATAAAAGTAAAAAAAACTTAGCATTAATATAAAAGAATGAATACATATTTTTAGTATTACCTAAAATGTCAATTTTCTACAACGCTAATACATGTCTAGCGGTTTCACGTTTTATATTAAAATAATAAAATCACGTTCTTTTTTATAATAGCTGCGCTGTTCAATTATTTAAAGAATTGTCGTTGTAATTAAATGTTCCGTCATTTGCATATTATTAGAACAAGAATATATAATAATGTATATATTACAAAAACCACTCATTTTGTAGCTAATTTTACACAGAAAATTAAAGTTGCGGAGACAAACCTTTCGAGTCCGCGTCAGAGATTTTGGATCCGAGCTTCTTTTTCTTACGCTTTAACTCCTGTTCCTTCATTTTTAAGGATTCTAATTCGAGCCTTCTTTTATTTTGTTTCAACTTCTGTTCCTCCGTTGTTACGGATTCTTTGCCTACACTATGGTGTTTTTTTTTGTGCCATTCAAAGTCGAAGAGATCATAAAAAGTTGAATTGCATATATCACACTTGAAAAGATTAACATTACGTGTCGAACGCGTATGTGCATTGAAATGGGATTTAAAAATGAATATTATAGGTCGCAGTAGTTGCAAGGATAATTCATGTGGATCTTTAACTGATTATGAAGCACGTTTAAAAAACAGAATAGTCTTAACCAGAGATTGCATACATACTTGTCCGGCTGTTTAGTTGGATCGGAATCCCTTTGTCTAGAAGAGCCGACACTTTCGCTTTGCATATTATCTCCAGTTGAACTGGAAGCCATTTGTCTAGAGGGACCGACATCTTCGTCTGGCGTCCGTAACAGTGCACGTATCCCGAAGACGCTCAGAGAAGATGCTGAGGATGATTGAATGTTTTCTGGATATTCTCTGGATAATCTCTGAATGTTTTTCGGATGTGGTGTGCTAATAAAAATATTATCTCCAGTTGAACCGGAAGCCATTTGTCTGGAGGGACCAGGACGTTCCTCTTGCTTATCATCTAAAAAAATTATTATTTTGTATTAAAAATGATTAAGATACAATTTTAAGAAGTGAGCTGCTTAAAAAAATATTTTAGTCAACAATAATATTTTTAATAGACTGAGAAAAAAATGTTGTTGATACAATTGAACGTGGCCGTCACGGGCTGCCACAAATATGATTTTTTTTAAACATATGCAGTATAAACAAAAGCATGATCTCTCGATTTGATTAATTATGTCATTGAATTAACAAAATACTGATAAATCAACTGCATATGCTTGTGGCAGCCCGTGACGTCGACGTTCAATTGAATCAACAACATTTTTTCTCTGTGTACGATCACTCAACTCTTCTGCGAACTACAATGATATCTGAATATGAAAAACGTTAATCTTTAATTATATTCATAATAATAAGCATTGTATCTACACAATCGAGAAACGTATGTCACGTTTTCTAAAACTTAAACAGATAAGAAAGTCAGTATAAAAAGTCATTTTTAGTAAATATGACGTAAAATTGACATTATTTTGACTTTATTGTTCTTCTTGAAAAGTTTTATAATGAAAAGGAACTACACACAAATAAAAGTAAAGAAAACTTAGCATTAATATAAAAAAATGAAGATATTTTTTATATTGTCTCAAATGTCAATTTTCTACAATGCTAATACATGTCAAGCGGTTTTATGTTTTATAATAAAATATGTTCTCTTCCTATAATCGCTGCGCTGTTCAATTATTTAAAGAATTGTCGTTGTAATTAAATCTTCCGTCATTTGCATATTATTAGAACAAGAATATATAATGATGTATATATTACAAAAACCACTCATTTTGTAGCCAATTTTACACAGAAAATTAAAGTTGCTGAGACAAACCTTTCGAGTCCGCGTCAGAGATGTCGGATCTGAGCTTCTTCTTCTTACGCTTTAACTCCTGTTCCTTTATTTTTAAGAATTCGAATTCGAGCCTTTTTTTATTATCCTTCAACTTCTGTTCCTTCTTTTTTAAGAATTCGCACCTCTGTCTCTTACGGCTCAAGTCGTCTTCCTGTTTCTTCTTTTTTGAAGATTCTTTTTTAAAAAAAACTTAGCAATGATATAAAAAAATAAATACATATTTTTAGTATTGTCTAACATGTCAATTTTCTACAATGCTAATACATGTCTAGCGGTTTTATGTTTTATAATAAAATCATGTTCTCTTCCTATAATCGCTGCGCTGTTCAATTATTTAAAGAATTGACGTTGTAATTAAATCTTTCATCATTTGCATATTATTAGAACAAGAATATATAATAATGTATATATTACAAAAACCACTCATTTTGTAGCCAATTTTACACAGAAAATTAAAGTTGCCGAGACAAACCTTTCGAGTCCGCGTCAGAGATGTCGGATCTAAGCTTCTCCCTTTCACGCTTTAACTCCTGTTTCATCTTTTTAAAGGATTCGCGTTCGAGATTCCTTTGCTTACGCTTCAACTCGTACTTCAGTTTCTCCGCTGTTACGGATTCTTTGCTTACACTATGGTGTTTTTTTTGTGCCATTCAAAGTCGAAGAGATCATAAAAAGTTGAATTGCATATATCACACTTGAAAAGATTAACATTACGTATCGAACGCGTATGTGCATTGAAATGGGATTTAAAAATGAATATTATAGGTCGCAGTAGTTGCAAGGATAATTCATGTGGATCTTTAACTGATTATGAAGCACGTTTAAAGAACAGAATAGTCTTAACCAGAGATTGCATACATACTTGTCCGGCTGTTTAGTTGGATCGGAATCCCTTTGTCTAGAAGAGCCGACACTTTCGCTTTGCATATTATCTCCAGTTGAACTGGAAGCCATTTGTCTGTAGGGACCGACATTTTCGTCTGGCGTCCGTAACAGTGCACGTATCCCGAAGACGCTCAGAGAAGATGCTGAGGATGATTGAATGTTTTCTGGATATTCTCTGGATAATCTCTGAATGTTTTTCGGATGTGGTGTGCTAATAAAGATATTATCTCCAGTTGAACCGGAAGCCATTTGTCTGGAAGAACCGGGACGTTCCTCTTGCTTATCATCTAAAAAAATTATTATTTTGTATTAAAAAAAATTGAGATACAACTTTAAGAAGTGAGCTGCTTAAAATAATATTTTAGTCAACAATATAATTTTTAATAGACTAAGAAAGAAATGTTGTTGATACAATTGAACGTGGCCGTCACGGGCTGCCACAAATATGATTTTTTTTAAACATATGCAGTATAAACAAAAGCATGACATCTCGATTTGATTAATTATGTCATTGAATTAACAAAATACTGATAAATCAACTGCATATGCTTGCAGCAGCCCGTGACGTCGACGTTCAGTTGAATCAACAACATTTTTTCTCTGTGTACGATCACTCAACTCTTCTGCGAACTACAATGATATCTGAATATGAAAAACGTTAATCTTTAATTATCTTCATAATAATAAGCATTGTATCTACACAATCGAGAAACGTATGTCACGTTTTCTAAAACTTAAACAGATAAGAAAGTCAGTATAAAAAGTCATTTTTAGTAAATATGACGTAAAATTGACATTATTTTGATTTTATTGTTCTCTTGAGAAGTTTTATAATACAAGAGAACTACACACAAGTAAAAGTAAAAATAAATTAGCACTAATATAAAATAATGAATACATATTTTTAGTATTGTCTAACATGTCAATTTTCTACAATGCTAATACATGTCTAGCGGTTTTATGTTTTATAATCAAATCATGTTCTCTTCCTATAATCGCTGCGCTGTTCAATTATTTAAAGAATTGTCGTTGTAATTAAATCTTTCGTCATTTGCATATTATTAGAACAAGAATATATAATAATGTATATATTACAAAAACCACTCATTTTGTAGCTAATTTTACACAGAAAATTAAAGTTGCTGAAACAAACCTTCCGAGTCCGCGTCAGAGTTGTCCCATTCGTGCCTCTTTCTCTTACCCTCCGACCCGCAATCGTGTTTCGGTTTAGAAGCTTTCTTGTCATCATAATGACATATTTTTTTGTGGTTTTCAAAAAAGTTTGAATCCACAAAAACTATGTCGCATTTATTACACTTGAAACAAACATTCTTGTGATACTTTTCCACATGTTGATGCTTATCCGACTCAGAAATGAATTTTAAGTTGCAATGGCAGCAAGGATAATTATATCCGGTGTCGTGTAACTTTAAATGATCGGAATAGTAGATCTCAGAAGTGAATGTCTGTAAACAGAGATGGCATTCATACGTTTCCGGCTGTCCAGTTGGATCGGAATCCATTTGTCTGGAGGGATCGGCACTTCTGTCTTGCATATCTTCGTCCTGCTTGTGACTTTCTTTTTTACAAACAAATTTATTTTGAGAATAGTATTTATAAATTTATTTGATTACTGTGTATTTCGGCGAGTATATTGCAACACTCTAGCGCAGTTATGGTCAGTTGTTTAATCGTGGTTAACCTGAAATCTAAAATTAAAAAGTAAGATATAACTATATATGTGTATTATTGAACAATCTTTTTAATGCAAAGCTTAAACGTATAACACATAGAAATAATTTTCAAAAATATAGGTGTTTATGTTTTATAAAAACAATTATATTGTAGAAAAATGTATTTCTTATCTATTAGGAAAAAAAAAATGTTTTGATGAAATGAATATAAAATTTGCTGCTAAGTAAATTTTTGAAAACGGTACCTCGCACCTGCTTTTTCATTATTTCTTATAAAAAAGAGACTATTAAAATGCCAAAATAATTAATAATATTAAATAATTGTAATCGAGAAGAAGGAATTTAATAATGCCAAAATGATATAAATATAAAAGTAAACTTTTTGATTCTATATATCAATTGCTGAGTTAAAAATTATGATTCATATATTAGTAGAAAAAAAAAGAAACAAAAATAGTGATACAAAAATCATTTGTTATCAGAACAGACACAGATGAATGTTATAAGTAAAAATTAGTTAAATTAATAAAAGACCAATTTACAATATAATTGTTATCACGTAGAAATTAGTGATGAATCAATATCAAATAACATTTGAACGTTAGCTTAGTAATGGCCTGTTAACATATAAAAATACTAAATAATTTGATTAATTTAGAAATACATATTTATATTAATGTAGTTAAAAACGGGACAGAAAAACAAATAAATCGTCAAACTAGTCATGTTTGAGAATTTAAAAAACATAATTTTAATAATTTATAATAAGTATTTAAGTAGTAAACTACACATATGTTCTACTTTCTCTAAATACTAAAGTTAAAATTCTTAAAGGAATTTTTCTTTTGTTGAATAATGTGGTCGAATAACGTTTTTATCTACCAGCATCTTTTAATGTATTATTTACAATATAATAAATAACCATAAAATTAATGGAAAACATTATGTATTATGTAAAATATTTTCGTTCTAAATATAAAAATTTCAGTTTATCGATCTGAGTCTCTTTTTGAAATAAAAGAAATTTTTAATTGTTGTATTTATAAAGAAAAGAAATAGAACAAATATTTATTTATTATAAAAAATAAACAAAAAGCAAAAAATGACGAAAAACCGTTTATAATCATGTATCTTTACTCATGTACTTTATTATTTGAAATTATATATCTATTAAAAGACTCATTTATGAACAAACAAATACAGGCGTAGAGAAAATCAAATTCTTAATCTTGTGAATTTTAATACACTAATATATTATAATTACTGATTTTTATATCACTAGAAATTCTTTATATATATATTTATGTCACTAACACATGACAATGCAAGATATACTTCAAAACAATTAAAACCTCGAAGATATAAAAATGTGTTCGACCTATTTGTTTGTTTATATTTTTCTATATAATTTTTAAATTATTTTTTGAAAAATTTACGGTTATTCCTTGATCAACTATTTACTATTTTTATTTAACAAATTATTCAGCGATATTTGATATTGTCAATTTTCAAAGATTATAAAATATTAAACAGAATATTGTCGCATTATATGTATTATTTTCTTGATAAAATTTAAGACAAAGTGTACTTTTTACTTTATTGTTTTAATCAAAATTGTGGAAAAATTTTAAAAATATTACTATATATATATATATATATATATATATTAAATATAGCAAAAAATATATGTAATACAGATAATTTCTGCATAATTTATCTTTTCTCACAGGATTCTTTTTAATCTGTGTCTTATTTGTACGTACCTGCTGATTTTTGTTCGTATAACTCGCTTAACTCTAGATTTTCTTTGTTACCTCTTTCACTTGAAGATTTTATTAAAATGTGTTTAGATTTTGCTGTTTTGAATCAGAAATGTGCACAGATACTTATTGTTAAAAGATAATCGTGACAAGAATTTATTTTGTAATTCCTATTAATTTCGTTTCTTTTCAACGGAACGACGTTAAAGCGTGTATGTATAATCGCCTTTGATTTTACTAATACGAACTTTACTGGTCTGTACTGTGTATAAATTTAATATATGTCTTATCGGGACGTATTCCCAAATAAACATTAAATACTGTTTATATATATGTGTGTGTTTTCATGAGAGTTACTTCGCAGCAGCCGGGCCAGTTTATAAATTTGAATGTTTTATGATTAGCCAGCAATAATTATATCTCTTTTATCAGAAGAAGAGATTGTAAAAATTGTTCTTACGTTGAAATTGCTTGTCAGAATTAATAATACAATATCAGTTTTAATTCATAATTAATATAAAAACGATAGTTGCATATATAGTCGCTAATGAAAGATGCACATTTTAACACGCATAGAACATCGAAATACATCAATAATTTCAGTACCTGCTTTTATCTGAATTGTAAACGTAAATCATGAGTAAGACTGTATTTTGAACAAAAATAGTTATTGAGATTTGTCGTGCACGCGTAGAAAATTGTTTCTTTGTCGGAGAACTTTCGAAATATATGTATATATTGCACATATGGATTTTGTCATTAAAATTGAATAAACGTTGTAAATGTATAATGACCTAATTATATATTATTTATACAAACACAAGGTTTTCCAGAGAAAAAATCATGATAAGAAATGACAAAATATCAATTATCGATTTATAATACGATATAAAAGTAGTCAAATATATTTTATTTCAATATCTAGATAGTACATTATCTGCAGATTAATTTTACATCAAAACATACCAATTTACAAATTCTTCCGTTTAATATACGTAATAACAAAAAGTGTCGTCTACGGAAACATTACGTCGACTTTTAATACTTTAGAATCAGGCAAAAATACATTGTTTATATATATTTTAATAGTGCAAAAAATTGCAAAGACATGACAAAATGTTAGTTATAGCAGTAAATTATATGATTACAAGAAATATTTAATTATGACCGCTTATGATTAAAACATAATAAAATGAACAGCGCGTATTTAAATAATTCAATATACATTAATGAAATCGTCATAGGTTTGATAATAAGAAAGACTGAAAAGAATCATATACTAAAGTTTTATTATCTAAATGAAAACTGCAAGATTTCGAAAAATTAATTATCCCTTCTTGGTACTAAATCATATGAAGAATAAGAGAACGCGTCCAAAAATATGGGAGAACATGAATCATATAATCATCTGTTCGATAATAAACATTGTTTAAGAAGAAGTGTCAATATCTAATAGCATGTAAATCACGACAGTAAAATATAAAAAATTAGATAAACCTGAATAGAAAATGGAACAACGCGTTTAAAAATAATTCTGCTTTTGCTAGTCAAAAAAATTCGCATGGATATGTTAATAAATACAACTGTTATAATTTATTTTAAAATTCTAATTAATATCACACACTGATCAAAATAATGTTACAGCATAATCGACACGGAATCTGTGCTATCTGTGGTAAATGAATATATTAATTGGTAAAAGTAAAAATGTTTCAAGTGCATCTGGTAGAGGATATTCTCTTATTCTTTACATACAAGTAGCTGCATCTATTTTCCGTCATTTTCGATTTAATTAATAATGTTGTACTTTCAAAATTTATATACTCTGATTTATATTTCGAAAATACATCGTGCTTTCATAACTCTTATTCTTTTTAAAACATTTCGGTTGGGTATTCTGTTGAATAACTTTTTAGCAATTTCAGTAACGCTCTTACCTGAATCGTGTGTGGAAATCATGCAGCGATATTTTGAACATAAATTATTTTTCAGAAATAAATATTTTTATCGGTTCTCAATATAAACAATATAAATATGATGTTTTCTAATTGGCCTAAGATAAATAATTTTTATTTATTATATACGCATATAAATGATTCTTAATTTGACCGTAAACGTACATACGTGGAAGTTTTTCCGTGCTTATTTCGCTTTTCCTTGATTTATTTCAAAAGTTTATTTTATGTATCAATTAATTAAATCAAAATTCATATATTTCCAACAAAATTTAACTACGATCTTTTATATTGTTAAAAGCTTAATTGATTACGATGCACAACTGAGAAACGCATTTAGAGAGGAGATAACACGGTACAAATGAATAAAATGATAAAGTCAATTTGGTTTAGAGAAGTATCTTTAACCATTTAATAAATATGTATAAACATTTACAATCTACTATAAAAAAAGTCATGTGTACCCGTGAAGTGCGTGTTTGGAGTCGAAAGTCTTGTTGCCGTTTTTCCGCGTATACGTGATTGGTGGTCGATTCGAGGTACGGGGCGAACTTGATCGCGGTTATTATAATAATGACAGTTCGTATCGTGATAATAAAGGTTAAATGTGTAGTGATCTCGGTATGTGTTATATAATATTTCTTAAGAGCTTGTGTCGTGTCACGCAAGATTTAGTAGAAAATAATATATTTATAAAAAGAAGGCATAAATAAGATGAAGCAGTGATCGACGAATGAAAAAAAGTAAGTATATATATAAATATATATACAGATCTTTTTATTATATTTAATACAAATAAATCTTAATTTTTTTTTTTTATTTTTTTTATCACAATTTATAGGATTCTAATTAAATAATTAAGCAAATTTATCTATTTATAAAATAATTAAGAGAAAAAGATATAATATCATTTTACTTCAGTACTCTGTAGCCGAAATTTATGATACATTAAACTAATTATTATGTCGAAATAGGCTATCTTTTTGCTTACTCCTGAGTAAATTAAACATAAAAAACAGAGATCGATAATATTAAAAAGAAAAAGAAGCCTTCGATTTGAAAAATTATTTTTATTTTACATCTGCATAGAAAGTATGAATGATGATTAATAAACGACTAATCCTGTAGTTTGAATTCTGATTTAAATATAATTATTGTACTCGATATCTCGGCCGTATTAAAATTAAATATGAATAATATCTACATTCTTGCAATATATAATAATACAACATATGATATACACAATAATTAAGTACAAAAATATCCTATAAATTGTCGTAATGCAATTTGCTTACGAAAACATTTTACATAAAATTTAATTTTATTTCATAAAATACATTATAATACATAACATCATTTTTGAAAAACCATTACTTATGTAACGAATGGTGACATTTATTTTTAACATCATTGAAATAATTATATTTTACTTAATGTCAAAGTTCGATAAAAAATTGATACTTGATATTATATATAGTTTCTAGAAGAGTATATAAAATAATACTTTCAAAATATTATAACGTTTAAATAACACGAAAGTGAAACTAAT